ATGAAAGAAAAAAACCTTTTGGCTAATGACGTCTCCCCGTGCTAATTGCCTATATTGATTATTTTTAATTTGAGCCGATTGTATTCTCTGATTAAGAAATTCTCTTCTCCTCATTTCCGCTTCCTGTAATTTAGCATTGAGTTCTTCGTGCGTCAAAGTTTTCGTCAAATTTTCATTTTTTTGTAATTTTTTTATCTTTTTCGGCGGATGTTTTTTTATTATGCTTTCTTCATCATCTGCGGGTATGTCAAACGCGAGAGGTGGTCGCGGAGGAGTCGGCGGTATTTCTGATACAAAAAAAACATGCCACGTGATTAATAATTAATTATAAATTAATGAGACGAAAAAAAATTTGTAAAAAAAAATCTTACTTCGTTTCGTTTCGTTCAAAAATTTTTCAGAATTGGTACGAACGTTATTTATTCGGGGAGGCGTATTATTCGAAATCGTAGATGATATTTCTTTTCCTTTGGGAGTTCCATTGATTGGAATTATTTTTCCAGCATCCGATGGATTAACTAAAACTTTAATTCCAGGTCCGTTTTTTGGAATCGGTTCAACTAATGGTACAACCGGCGATGAACTATTACAACCCATTTTTTAAATTGTTAATTATTTATTTATTTATTTAAACGCAACATCCGTTTTCGTTGTTTTCACATAACAAAAAAAAAAATTAAACGTTAAACGTAAAAGAAAAAAAAATTTAATATAACCGACAAATAAAATACGACGACTGACGAAAAATTGACTTCACTTGGTTACACATCAACAATCTCCACATCACAATATTGATTCTTTTTTTTTGTTTTGTTTTCCTATCACCCTCCCCATCCCCTCTCATTCCCTTTTCCTGTTAACTTCCCAAATTTCCCTCCTGGAAACCTCGTTCAATAAAAAAAAAAAAAAGAAATTCAACAAGTTTTCCAAGAGTTTAATACACGATAAACACGCGATCGTAAATTTAATTGATTTTTTTTCTTTTTTTTTTGCTGGGATTTTAATTTTGACGAACGATTTTTTAAATTTTATGGCCGTAATTAAACAACAAAAACAATCAATTTAAATCCCTGAAGTGATAACAATGATAACAAAAACAGATTTAAAAAAAAAAAAACAATTTTTTTTAACCATCTCCATATTTCATACGATCAAAGAAAACTTCGACGAAAAACGCCTTCAAAATGATGTTTAGGCAATTTTTAAACACATTTTTTTGTTAATTTTTTTGTTAATTTTCCAAAAATTGATTTTTAAACGTTTTCATTATTATCATTATTATTATTTTTACCGTTCGGGCTTATTTTATTTTAATTAGAATATTACAAAGATGATAATGAAGTAATTATAATAATGATAACGGTAAGGGTAAGGAAAATAATTTTTTCCTTTTGTTATACGTAAACATACACGCACGTAAACGTGTAATTGTTTTTTGACACGATTTTTAAAATATCTAGAAAAATCTTTCTCCCATTTCTTATCACTGATAACGTTTAGATAAGAAAAAAATAACACGAGTAAAAATTTAATATTCGAATCGGAGGGGGGGGGTGAGAGAGGAGATGAGAAGGTAATTTATAAGATTTGCTTGGAGTCGAGAAATCTTTTTTTTTTTTTTTTTTTCCAAAACAACAACCACAATCGCAACAACAACAACAACAACAACAAATCAAATGAATGATCGACACATACATAAACACACAAACACACGTGCGCATGTAAAAAATTACATTTAATTTATTTAAAATTAACTGACACATTAATAGTAATTAACTATTGGAATTTATTTTTATTTTAAAAAATTGCCTTGAGTTATAATTAATAAAATTTGTTTTATTAATTAATCAAATGTAATTAATAACATTTATTAAAAAATAAAATAAATATAATTATTTCATGTGCCAAAAAAAAAAAAGTTTTATTAACGTTGAGTCAGTAAAAGCCGTCGTCGTCGACGGCTACGACGACGTTCAGTAAAAAAAAAAAAAAAAAAAAGTTAATTTCGCATTCAGGTATTAAAATTCAAATGTGAGCCATGGTATGAATACCTAAATGTCGCACGTGTCGTCACATTTTAGATTCATTCTACGATATTTTAAAATGTGACAAAATTTCGTACTCTTGGTCACGCACTACAAACCGAAGATGTGACCGTCGAAAAAAAAAAAAAAAATCACCCACGTCATTGTAATTAAAACCATAGGACAAAAAAATAATGGCGGTCTTCTTCCTTATCCTCCTTTCCTCCCTCTCCTCTTCTCTTCCCTTCTCTTCCCTCCACAAGAACATTTACTTCCTTCTCTCTCTCTCTATCGTCTTTCCAGACGCATGTTTTCCTTTCGTATTAATCAAAAGATGGAGTTTGTTTGTTGTCTAAGGTGGAGTCTCTTTTTAAATATGTTTACTAACCAAGGGATGGGGGGTGGAGTGGATGAAAAAAAAATTTTTTTTTTTTTGTCCACTAACAAACACGCCTAATTTAACCAACCTAATTTATTTATTTTTATTGTTTAAACAATTATTTTTAAAATTTAAAAATTTATCTTTTTATAACAATGGATAGAAAAAAATCTTTTCGAATTATTGATTTTTTCTCTTTGTTAAAAAAGATGTACTAACAAACAAACAAACAAACAAACGAATTGATTGTTATCCAACCGTTCATTACCGTTAAACTTCGATTTTTCGAACCTAAAAATTAATTAAATTTTTAATAAATAATATTAAAATTATTAATTTTTATCAACAGGCGTTTGAGATAATGCGAGAAAGAGAGAGAGAGAGAGATTGTGCGAGTGTGTGTGTAAAAGAGAGAAAGAGAGAGAAAGATAAAAATATAATTTTTTTTTTTAATTACTATTTTTTTTATTTGATACGATTCGATCGCGGTAAAATTTCAAACCTTATATATATAAAAAAAAAGAAATCGAATAAAAATAATCAAGCACGTATATACAAATTAAAACAAACAACAAACGGCAAACAAACAAACAAACACGAGGTAGCAGAACGATGAACATGTCGTGAAAGATTCAAACTCGTCACCTCGAAAACTTGAGATGTTAAATTTTTTTTTTTTTTTTTTTTTAATTTATGTCTTTTTCGAGTTTTTTTTTTTTTTAAAGAAATTGGCAGAAGATGTAAAGAGAGAGAGAGAGAGTTAGGGAGTGAGAGAGAGAGAGAAATAAAAAAGATACGACAAAATGTTGAATACAGGTTTTTTAATTGGTTCACTCCAATGTTTTTAAAAACGTAAACATTTATTTAAGTGGATAATTTATGCTTTTGAGAAAAAAAACGACTGGAATAATAGTTTGGTCGCTAAAATTTCTTTGAGTTTTTTTTTTACTAGAACATTTTAATAATAATAATAATGAGTTTGTTATTATTATTATTATTATTATTATTATTATTATTATTATTATTATTATTATTATTATTATTATTATTATTATTATTATTGAGA